GCATTTCAGTAGCAGTAGTGAAACTAGTAATGTGAAAGTTTTATTACTTTACTCACTTCATATTAGTGACTTGTAACTTGTTGCTTTTTCTGGGTCCTAGTAGTCTTTTTTGGAACAGTAGTCACATTTTTGATGGGGGCGAACAGTTTTTATTACTGAGACACGGGAATGCTGTATTTACAAGTTCGTTTGTGGATTTCCTTGGAGAAATCAGCAGAAGTTGAGAAATGTTTCTGTGGTGAAACTTGAACAGAAACAGGCTAAATAGATTCCACAGAAGCACTTAATTCAGATCCAAACCTTACAAGATGAACCTCACAAGCTAATTGAATAGTATTTTCTCCCACTTCTCAAAATGACCCCACAGCTCTGTCCCATGTTTCCACCATACTGCCAGCATATATAGAATATGCTTGTTTGATAACAATCTGACACCGTACGTTCCTATAGGTTTGACTTGGGTCTTTCAAATTCTTTGTGTAATTGTTCAAATATTGTATACCTTATTCAACCTTGTCACTGCAACATTACAAGCTTTAGCTCTGATTTTTCCACTTTGTACATACCATTTTTCCATTATATACTGAGATAAAGCCCAGAATGTGGTATACATTTCAGTATGCTGCAAATGTCTTTTTCAAAAATGATCATTTCCATTCAAGTTTGGGTAGTTGGCTTTTCTTTTCTTTCTTTCACATCCATTCATGATTATTGTGCCTTGCTTACTTATTAAAATTGGAAGTTATTAGCTGGAAATCAAAATTCCAGGACAAGTCTTAAGTTATGATGCTTATTAAGATGAATTAATCTTGGCCTAGATTACATATTGCTTGTAAATGCAGATATTTAATAGAGCTAAACCAAACTACAGCTCATTGTTTCCTCTTGTGCCAGCATAACCTGATGCAGATCTTTGACAAACTGCAGGAGGATGAGATTTTCATTGTAGAAATGCATCATGCAGAACTTAGACTTGCAACTTGTATTAGATGCTACAAAAATAATGCATTGTAAAACAATGCATTGCAATGACAGTACTTTGTTTGAAGCGTCCATATTGAATGCTGTTCTAATTCATTGGGGATGTTTAACTACAGGCCAGTGTTGTTCAGGTGCTTATTTTCAGTATAGAAGTTGGCAAAGAATCTCATTCTCTGTCTTTTTCCTTTAGGCGCAGATGAAAGGGCAGCCAACTTCAAACGCTTCATCAGTTGGCACATCATCCCAGCTAATGCAGCCAAGTCAACAGGTAATGATGAGCAACTGTTTTTCATATATTTCTGTAGGTTGAGGATATTCAGTGCAGTTCTTTTTTATAGTGCTTTCAGTGTTTGACTTGGTAGCAGGTTGGACTACTCTATGGCTCTCCAGTTGATGCTGGACTCCAGCTCCCATCACCATGAGCAAATACAGGCAATGGTCAGAGAAGATGGGAGTTGTAGTTCAACAACATCTAGAGGACAAGAAGTCAGCTACCTTGTTTCTAGGTGGGAAAGGTGGGACATGGTTAAGTTAACATATACTAAAGTGAATTTTGTACATTTTTTTCTGATTTCTTTGGGGATTTGCTGTGGAATTTGTTTAAGATTTGTATTTTTAAAATTTTACCTTTCTGCTTCCAAGTTATAGGTGATTATCATTCCTTTGACTTAGCTTGATTTATTCTGTACGTTTTCCACAGAAATGTGCCCAAAATAATATTTGGTGAAAGTTTGTTAATGTGTTGAAAATAATTAACTGTAGAAATCAGTCCCATTTAACAGTTAGCTTTCATCTTGCATGAGACAATTTCATGTGGTGTTCCTATGTAATTTTTCTCAAAAAGCTTTGCTCTGCATGCTAACTTTTCTAGTATTAGTATTTGGCAAAGTATAGATAGAATGTTCCTGGTTCCTGTGAACTATGATTTCAAAGAGTAAAAACAAGCAATGAACACGAGCTGTCTCTCCCCTAAGCTCTGAGGGCCTTCTAGCTGCTCCCTCATTGTGAGAAGTGAGGTGGTCTTGGTAGCGGCACCCAACCTGTGGAACTTCCTCCCGTCAGATGTCAAAGGGATAAATAATTATACGACCTTCCGTAGACACCTGAAGGCAGCCCTGTATCAGGAAACTTTTATTGTGTGGTGTTCCATTGTGTTTCTGTATATTCTGTTGGAAGCCACCAAGAGTCCAGAGTAGCTGGGGCAACCCAGTTAGATGGGCAGGGTACATTATTATTATTATTATTATTATTATTATTATTCATTCTTCCTATGTCTGGCTTCAGAACACACTGTTTACTGTGTTATTTGAACTGGGAAATGGTGTTTCAAGATCTCCCTATGAACTTAGATTGCAAGACATGTTTGGTTTGGGTTTCCACAAGGCCTTAAATCACAGTTTTCTGGTTTGAGCTTCCTATTTTTTTAAGCCAAGTTCCAATGAAAGGCTGAACTTCACCTTTGTCTGAGTGCCAGTTGTTGATTCCCCTCCCACCATGCACATGTCACCTCCCCGCCCCCAACCTTTAAGTAAAGGTAAAGGTAAAGGGACCCCTGAGCATTAGGTCCAGTCGTGGCCAACTCTGGGGTTGCGGCGCTCATCTCGTTTTATTGGCCGAGGCAGCCGGCGTACAGCTCATGTGGCTAGCATGACTATGCCGCTTCTGGTGAACCAGAGCAGCAATCGGAAACGCCGTTTACCTTCCCGCTGGAGCGGTACCTATTTATCTACTTGCACTTGATGTGCTTTCAAACTGCTAGGTTGGCAGGAGCAGCGACCGAGCAACGGGAGCTCACCCCGTCACGGGGATTCAAACCTCCGACCTTCTGATCGGCAAGTCCTAGGCTTTGTGGTTTAACCCACAGCACCACCCACGTCCCTTGACCTTTAAGTAGGCTGTGCTTATTTTCAGTTGTTTCTCAGGAAGTTTTTGCTAACTCTACTTCAGTACTGTTGAACATCTTAAAACAAAATATTATCATTAGAATACACACATACACAGCAGGAATTCAGATATACCCAAGACAAGATCAACTGCTGCAAAATATTTCCAGATAAAAGGTGTTTTTGTCCAGTGTAAATAATCTGCTGTTGTTTTTTCTTCTATGACAGAGCACCCAGCCTTCAGCCCCTTCACAACAGACTGGGCAATACCAAGTTCAGCAGCCTTCAGTTTCCAGTGGAGCTGCTCCATCGCAGCCAGTCACACAGCAAGCACAAATAATGTCTGTGCCTCAGGTAGCAGCTGGGACACAGGTAAACTGCAACTTGCTAGCTCCTGGAGGGCTTCTGTCTGGACTACCTGAATTGTTAGCAGCTAAGCCCCCTTCAATTATGTGACAAAACAGGGTGTGTGTGTATATATATATATATATATATATATATATATATGGTTGGAAATGTGTTGTCTGGAAGGGTACAATGAAAGTATTAGGATAAGGAAAATCCGTGTATTAAATGGGAAGACCCATCAACTTTTGTCATGGTCTAAAATGCAATGCCTGATTTTGAAAAAGTTGGAAAAACCTGTGTGTTGTTTGAGAGTGCATGTGTGTGTGCATAGTTTTTGGTTTTTTTAAATCAGTGTAGGGGGTCAGTGGCTCAGTATCCCAACACTGAGTGCTCTTCAAGATGAGTCTCCTTTTTTCTCCACATCTCCCTCCTTCACTCCTTGCCCTAGAGGCTTTTTGCTGACTCCAGATTGGTCCTGTAGATGTATATACTTTTGAATCCCAAAATACTAAATTTTTGTGGCAATTTTGCTTAGGTTTCCTGAAAAAAATTCCTGTTGCATTTCTTGCTCTGCTTTTTGGCACTAACAAGAGTATCTCTATATGTTGGCTGAGTGGCTTTTATTCCCCCCTGACCTCAGGCTCCTACACCCATATGAGGGGTTATTAGAGGTGTGTTCTATATAAACTGATGCCATGCTATAATAATAATATACTACTACTACTACTACTACTATTATTATTATTATTACCCCACCCATCTGGCTGGGTGTCTTGACCTTGTTTCTCCATCCTGAAATTCTCCTTTGATAACAAGGATAATTTCTCCAAAATGTTAAAGATATGCATCAAAAAAGGGCACCAAAAATTGCTAATTGGAAGTAACCTTCCCAGCCACTCTGTCAAATATATTCCTTCCGTGCTCCTGTTAAGTGTGGTGTAAACATTTCCCCCCTTTTCTTGGACTAATGCAATTAAAAGCCTGCTTCCTGCAACCTTTCTCCTTAAAGGTCTATCTTTTTCTTTACCTCCCCAGCTTCCTGTTTCCCAGCCAGTGCCGATCATCCAAGGTGAAACACAGTTACCTATGGCAGTGCCTTCCCTTCCTCAGCCTTCAGTTGCCCCTGTCATGCCCATTGGCTCTCATTTTCTCCCTATGGGCCCGCCCTTACAGACTCCCCTTCATCCACAGTTCTCAGTTTCTCAGATGCCCATAGCAACACCTCATGTGTCAGTGGCTCAACCTGGTTTCCCAACTCTACCCATCTCCATGGCATCTGGAGTTAGCCAGCCATTGCTCACTTTGGCCACATCTGCTGCAGCAGCTGCTATTCCTGTGGGTTCAACTGTTGTCCCTAGCCAGCTTCCAACTCTTCTGCAGCCCGTGACGCAGCTGTCCGGCCAGGTTCTCCCACAGCTTCTACAGCCATCTGTTCAGCCCATGGGATTGCCAGCCACACTTGGACAAACTGCTGAAGTACCACTTCCACCTACAGATGCTGTGTACCAGGTATTGTGGCAGTCAAGAAAGAGTCCCTCTCTTCTGCTCCTCTGGTGCTTTAGACTCCACTAAGATGTCCTGAAAAGTTACTTGCAGTCTTTGGAAGGAGAGGCCAAATGGTTTTTCCATATACAAGGGAAAGTCCTGATTTCAAACCAAATTTGATTAGTAATGGTATTTTGTTTTTGCATTGGTAGTTTTTACTGAGGAATGAATCGTAGAATTATAGAATTGGAAGGCACCCTGAGGCTCATCTAGTCCAACCCCCTGCAATGCAGGAATATGCAGATGTCCCATATGGGGCTTGAACCTGCAGCCTTGGTATTATCAATACCACACTCTAACCAACTGAGCTGGAAGAGTAATGTTGACTGACATGACTGTCAGATCCCTGAAGGGCCACAGTTTCCCCACTCAAATACCAGTGCAGGGTGGGGAGCCTGTAGCTCTCCTGAAGTTGTTGGACTGCATCAGCCCCAGCCAGCAGTGTCAATGAGGTATGGGAGTTGCAGTCAAGCAATAATAATATAATAATAATAATTTATTTTTTGTACCCCGCCCATCTGGCTGGGTTTCCCCAGCCACTCTGGGCGGCTTCCATAGAAACCAAAAATACAGTAAAATATCACAAATTAAAAACTTCCCTGAACAGGGCTGCCTTAAGATGTCTTCTAAATGTCAGGTAGTTATTTATTGCTTTGACATCTGATGGGAGGGCGTTCCACAGGGCGGGCGCCACTACTGAGAAGGCCCTCTGCCTGGTTCCCTGTAGCTTTCCTTCTCGCAATGAGGGAACCGCCAGAAGGCCCTCGGCGCTGGACCTCAGCGTCCGGGCAGAACGATGGGGGTGGAGACGGTCCTTCAGGTATACTGGGCCGAGGCCGTTTAGGGCTTTAAAGGTCAACACCAGCACTTTGAATTGTGCTCGGAAACGTGCTGGGAGCCAATGTAGGTCTTTCAAGACTGGTGTTATGTGGTCTCGGCGGCCGCCCCCAGTCACCAGTCTAGCTGCCGCATTCTGGATTAGTTGTAGTTTCCGGGTCACCTTCAAAGGTAGCCCCACATAGAGTGCATTGCAGTAGTCCAAGCGGGAGATAACTAGAGCATGCACCACTCTGGCGAGACAGTCTGTGGGCAGGTAGGGTCTTAGCCTGGATACCAGGTGGAGCTAGTAGACAGCTGCCCTGGATACAGAATTGACCTTTGCCTCCTTGGACAGCTGGGAGTCCAAAATGACTCCCAGGCTGCGCACCTGGTCCTTCAAGGGCACAGTTACCCCATTCAGGACCAGGGAGTCCTCCACACCAGCCCACCCCCTGTCCCCCAAGAACAGTACTTCTGTCTTGTCAGGATTCAACCTCAATCCATTAGCTGCCATCCATTCTCCAATTAAAGCTATGAGATTGCAGGCTGCAGTGATAATTTGCTGGAGTGCTGGCCAGGCAGTTTTGACTGTCAGCTGGAGCACAGCATAAAAAGCTTAACAAGACTTAAATTGTGAAAGGTACGGAAGCACCATGGCAAGCAAACAGATTTCCCATGCTCTAATTTTAGGGAAACATGTTGAATTCGTCTTCAGTAGATAGCACAACAAAAATAAATAACAATTGAAACCTGTCTTTTTGTCTCTGGAAAGAGACTGGCAAGCAGGCATTAGAAGAGATGGAGCCCTGTTGCTCTGACTTGACTGGGGCCCAGTCATCTGACAGCTTCTTTGCAGACCTGGTAACTTGATGGAGCATTTATAGTTAACAAGACGGGGAGGACCTTTTTAGTACACAGGTTGCTTTAAGGTCCCTTTAGTTGTGTGGTGCACTGCTGTTCCAGAGTGCATGATGGCTTGGGATTTAACATTGACCCCCAAGGCAGTAGGCTTTGTTCCTTTTTAAAATAAGGTACCCTGGAAGTTGTGCAACAAATCTAAGGAGTTCATGGCAGGAGGGAGTTAAAAATCCTATTCAGCTTGCCTTGCTTTCCCCCCTTCCTATCTGTTTCATACTGTTTTCCCCTGAATTACCCTAAATTACAATAACTTGGCTTCCTCATTTATCGCAGGGCTTCCCACCTCGGCTACCAGCACAATATACTGGAGACTCAAACATTGCTTCTTCTGTGGCCTCTGCTTGCCTCCCTTCTGCAGTACTATCCCCTCCCTTACCCACAGATGTACTGGCTCAGCCAGGCTATCTTGCTGCAATGGTACAGCCTTATGTGGAGCAGAATGTTTTAGTTTCTTTGGGCAGTCTAGGCGGACAGGTTCAAGTGCCACAGCCTGCTTCCTGTTTAGCACAGCAGGTCTCATCTTCAGCCTCCCAGCAGACAGCATTAGAGGTAAATGGACTATGCATGTTGCTGTGTGTGTGCATTCTAAAAACTGAGTTTCAGGGCATGAATTTTGAATTCACTTCCATTTGGGGTAGCAAGCTGAAAAATCATATGCTAATCGTCAAAATGAATTTCTCTTACAGCAGAATGTGATGCCAATGTGGAGACCTTGTTGCCCCTGGCTATGCTGTTGGGAAGTGAGTGGGCCTCCCAAGATGCAAAACACTTGCTAGCACTTCTCTTCTGGCTAGTAATGCCAATCGTTGTATTGAAGACATGCTATACTCAATAGTCACTGGAAAAAAATCTCTCCTCAAACGTGTTCCCTGCAGCCTTGCTGTAGCTGGGGGAGATTTGAATGGACTTTGCACTCTGCATTGGCTTCTCTGTTGCACATTCTGCTAGTAAGATTTCTGGTTGCATGGCAAGCTGTAGTGCCACCATCATGTAGTGAATAAAATGGTTGACTTTCACCAGGCAACTTGTTTCAAATTTGCACGAAAACCTCATTTGGGGTTAAAAATTTGAAATGTTTAGATGCTTTAAGATGTTCTAGAGAGAAGAGTGTGCTTTTCAGCTTCTAGTTACCTAGATGGATGGACTGTGATGGGGCTGGAAAAAGAGCTCTTTAACAAGATGCATGAAAGGAATGCTTTATCTTTTGCAGAGTACTTCTGGAGTTACTCAAACAGCACCTGCAGAGACTCAACCACCAGTGCAGCAGCAGCAGCCTTCGCAATCAACCCCATTGGTTTCCTCAATAGATAGGTAAATAGTAAATTATTACATTTCAACTTGGATATTTATCATTACAGACATGGTGCTTCTGTTAATCTGTTTCTGATTTGGGCGGACTCTTCGCATGTGAACTCTTAACATCTGCCCTTGACATCTAAGCTGGGGCATGGAACTTGTTTGACTCCAGTTCCATCATCCCTGACAATCAACCATGCTGGCTGAGGCTGATGAGACCTCTGGAGGGTCACAAGTTACCCATCTCTAATTGTCACTGATTACTCCTTTCCTGAATTACAGCAAGGCTGCTCAGACGCTAGTTGTACCAGGCTCATAATGTCCTCACTTAACTATACCTTACCTGTTGCAGCACACTATTAAAAATGGGCTGCATCTTTCCTGTGAGTGACTCAAAAGGCGACTCTTTCTTAAAGCATGTAGCATAGTGATTCCAAAACTTTCCTCCCTACAGACCACTTGAAAATTGGTGAGGGTCTTGGTGAACTACTTAATTATTTTTATGCTTGTTATAGCAATTGTAATGTGCTGCGGTAGATGCTGTATTTTTTAAAAAAATTGCATTTAATTGCTTCTTGTGTTTCTTATATATTGTACAGTCATATCTCACATTACAGACGCTTCAGGTTGTGCATTTTTGGGTTACGGACATGCCAAAACCCGGTAGTACTGAAACGAGTTACTTCCGGGTTTCGGCGCTCGTGCATGCGCAGAAGCGCTAAATCGCGCTTTGCACATGCACAAAAGCTCCAAATCACAACCCGCGTGTGCGCAGACGCGGTGCTGTGGGTTGCAGATGTGCCTCCCGCACAGATCATGTTCGCAACCCGAGCATCCACTGTATGTTATTGTATTTTTGCAGGGTTATGTTCATTTTTTGTTCATTTATGTTCATTTCTGCAGGGTTATGTCCATTTTTGCAGGGTTATGTTCTGAGTTACTGCACACATCCCTTGCGGGTTTGGCTCGATGCACATGTGCGCAGTTGCACACATATTGAATGTGTGTAAAGGGGGGGTTGCGTGTATTACAATTTGAAGTCTATGGAATTAAAACTGTAATATGAAATATATTATAAGAAATAAAAGAAGCAATGAACATACAAATAATAATCAATACATTATGAATATTTAAGGCAATGAAAAGTACTGTTTCCCCTGTTCAGCCACAAATCCACAAACATGCTGTGGATCACCTGAATGAAGACCACAGACTACTAGTGGTCCACAAGCCACAGTTTGGAAACTCCTGATGAAATATACAAGAGAGGCATTTAATGACTAATTAAAAAATACATTTGAGCCTCATTTCACTAGTGCAGATTTAATCATCTTTATCAGCATGTAGTGGTAGGATTTTCTAAAGAGCAGTTTACTTACATTCCTTGATTTGCTGAGAGTGATACTCTCAGCAAATCAAGGAATGTAAAGGAAGTGGGGGGGGGGGGGGGAATTACAGGTAAAAAATGGCTGATTTTTTCCCTACTTGTTTTTCTGTAGTGCACATTCGGATGTTGCTTCAGGCTTAAGTGACTGCAATGAAAGTGTTCCAGCATCTAGTGGTAGACATGAAGGGAGGACTACGAAACGGCATTATCGGAAGTCAGTGCGCAGCCGCTCTCGGCATGAGAAGACTACACGTCCCAAACTGAGAATTCTTAATGTGAGTTTCTTTTGGTGATACTGCACTGTATCGTGCTAAACTATGGTTTAGTGTTACATCTGAATCAGTCCACTGTGTTTTAACACATCTGTTTTAGTGCATAGTAGGGTGGTTCAGACATAACACTAAATCATAGTTTCAACTAACTCTGTTTATTAGAGTAGGCAAAAATCGTGGCCTTATGTGCTCTCCCCTCCCATTGTCCTGCATGCAAGGGGAGGAGATTAGAAATGTTGCGTTTTAGTTAACAGCAAACTATGATTTGCTCAAACCAACATTATAAAGTATCGTTTGATCCAGGTTTGTAGGTAAGCTTTGGTTTGCTATTGAGTAGAATCTAAAGCTTCATATCTCACTTTGCATGCAGAGGCAGGGGAGGAGGGAGTGTATGAGCCAAGGGTTTGTCTCTGCCTCTCTTCATAACAACAAACCAAGGTTTCTCATTATATCTGAATTCAGTCACGGTTCTAACCTCTTGACAAATTGTTCTCCTGTGCTGCTTTTTCTGTCCTAAATTCTAACATTGGGGTATACTATTGTGTGTTTCTGTGTTTGTTTGCTTGTTTTGCTTAAGATGGCATATATTGCGTTGTGTAACTACCATGTCCCCATCAAGCTTCC